AGCTAAATTTAACGTTTGATGGAAAATGGATGGATTCCAAATGGTGCTACTTCAGAGTCATTCAAATTTCCAAATTAAATTATGTCTTTTTGTTATCACTAATTTTTCGTCCACAAATCAGATTCCTGCTTTTCACCCATTCACAAAATTAGTTATTTTGTCTTATCCGAAAATGATTTTCTTTGGTTTCCGATTGACTAAAATGCCTGCTCATGCCATCATTTTTCTGCCATTTTTTTCAGGTTAGTTTTGGGGACCAGCTGCACTGACATGGAATGAAGTGTGTGAAATGTGACACCCAACAGTCACTTCTCCAGCCGAGTTGTGTCGAAAATAACTGTCATGGTTTGACAATACTGGTTCATCACAACAAACATTGGTGCTGATGTCATCTACTCTAATTATCCGATTGTGGGATGGCATGTCACACGGGTGCATTAATGTCTCTTTTCCCTGGGTTCTACCGTATATGAAAAGCAAACGGTCGATCTTCAATTTCAGCTCTCATACAGGTATTTGCAGGACCTGTCTGTGAAAGAGGCAGGGGCTTATATATATGTGTGTGTGTGTGTGTATATATATACAACTTAAAAATGATCATGTTTACATTATAAGGCATAATTATTATTCCCAATCAGTCCATTTCTTAGTTATATATATATATATATATATAGTGCCACCGAGATTCAGCAAACATGTTTTGATGTGGTCCGGGATTTTCCTTAAAATTCCACTGGTGTGGAGGGACATTTGTTTGAGGCCGCCGTGTGTAAGAAAATTGTTTTGTACAGTATGTATGGACACCGTCTGAGTCTCTACTGCTCAGAAGTCGATTAGGAAGCGTTGCATTTAAGCAGTCTTCGCCCCACTTGTGTTTCTTTGGTTGGTGGCATCATCTGGCTGATGACAGTCAGAATTCCCATATCTAATTACGAGCGGGATTTCAGCTCCATTAGAGCTAGCTGCGTGGTGACGAGTCGGACGAGTGGCGTGGCAAGCACCCAGTGGCCAAAGAGAAGGCCGGGAGTGGGGAGTGGAGTTGGTGGTGTGGGGGGGTTGAAAGATGGATGGATTTTGATAAAATAATAAAGGAGGAGCGGTTGAACATTGTTATCTTTACCTCCCACTCCTCTTACTGAGAAACACTTTATTTTCCTTCCACGCCAGAGAAGAAAGAAAAAAAACAATTCCTTCTCATGGAATTGGCAGGTGTTTGTTAGTGGGCAGCGGACAGTGTTTTCTCTCCCAGTAATGAAGGTTGTGGCTGGGGTCAGTGCACAGAGGAAAACTGGGGAGGGGAGTGGGTGGTGGGGGCTGTTTATCCCCCTCAAGGCCCAGCGCCACACGTGTTTTGCTTGGTCTGTGATCTGTAATTGTGGCATTTCCTGAGAGGCGCAGGAACAATCCACAGTGTGCTCTGGGAGGGCTGCTTCTAACAGGCAACCTTGATTCATTCCCGTAAAAAAAAAAAAAAACGCACAAAAAACCCCAGTTTTCATTTCTTTGTCTCTCATCACATACAGTATTCCCAACATTCAAAACTATTTCCCCTCTTGCTCAGGATGTTTGCCTCGTTTGGTTTAAGAGTGGAACCAGCTGTTTTTCCTTTTCTTTTAATTAATAACATTGATGCAAACAGGAAACTAATTGAGATGAATATTTAATGCAAGGGAGAAACATCAGGCTGTTCAATTTACATCAACACAAAGACAGCAACCGCCGATCCAACTCTACAAACGGAACAGAGTGTCCTTCACAGGCTGGCTCGCGCTTTCAGCCTTCTCACACAAACACTCAGAGGGGGCACCTGTAGCTAAGAGGGTTGGGATTTAATAGAGTCATGCAGTCCAATTATATCAATGTCACGGCTGGTCACATACACTGTACATATATCCAGCTTCAAAGATTTTGTATGTAGGTAGGGTAAAGCTGGTTGCATAGGTATTTAAGAGGTATAGGTTAAGTAGGTACACAGTGCAAGTTCAGTAGGCGATTTGTTGTTGGGGAATTGGGTTTTTCTACCTTTTGGTCCCTTAAAGGCACTTAAAGTAAAGAAGATAGCTAGGTAAGGTGGTGTGTTAGGTTGGTAGTTAAGTAGGATAAGGAGGTTGCAGGTAGGTACACTGAAAAAAATTGGTGTTATGAATTTACACAATTTTATTTCGTCAGGTGGTTGCACACAATGAATTCAGCTGGATCCAAATGCATTTTTTCAGATAGATGTATAGTTTACTTGTTTACGAAAATGTTCAGTCAAACCTCGGTTTTCGAACGTCTCTGTTCTCGACCAAATCGGTTTTCGACCAAAAATGTTGAGTTTTTTTTATGCCTCGGATGACGACCGAATTTCGGTTCTTGAACAAACTGAGCGCACTTGAATGCGTCACTTGACTCCGCTCGCCTTCCTTACACGAGGAAGTGACGCTTCCTCGGGTAGACGAGGAAGTGACGCTTCCTCGTGTAGCGTTCCATTGTGAACAGACGTGTTCAATAAAGATGTTTTTATTAAAAAGAGCGTGGTTTCGGTTTTCGAACAATTCGGTTTTCGAACAGCCTTACTGGAACGGATTATGGTCGAAAACCGAGGTTTGACTGTATCTGGATCAGGTTTATTTTATCTCATACAACCACCGGATGAAATAAAATTTAGCAAATTCAACATACCTTTTTTTTTCAGTGTGGGTAAGCAGGGTTGGGTAAGAAGGCCGGTTGGTAGGATAGATAGGGTAGTAGGCAGGGTAAGGAGATCTGCAGGAAGATAGATAGGTTGGAAGGTAAGGACAGGATTGGTGGGAGGTAGGTATGGTAGCCAGGTAGGTCGGATATGAAGAGTGGGTAGCTAGGTAGCTAGGTCGCTAGCTAGCTAGCTAGGGCCAAGTCGGATTTTGTACGGACATCAGTGGTGAATAAAGCGGTGTCAAGAGAGATAGTTGCTGAATCGTTATCACACAAGTTGATATTTTGGTGGATTTACTGGTATTAAATATAATCCAAGGGTGGAGATGGATGAAGAAGCAATGCAATAACTCTGCGGCGTATTATCAAGATGACTCCCGCTGGCCACCCCTGTCACAGACGAGTGCTTGATGTAAACACGAGATTGCTGCGACACCCGGTAATCAATATGAGGATGGTTTTCAGTACCAAACATCATTTGTCTCCGAGACCATTCCTTTGACCAAACGAAGCATTAATTCAAATCATAAATCTGAGCTGATTTAAATCCGCCGTGAGTGAGAGCAGGGGCGAGATGAGGAGGAGGTGGGCGCCGGTGTGGGGGCAGGGGGGTGTCGAGTGGCCCTGTCGAGCTAATGATTTATTTTCTACATTTCTGCGAGCGAGAGATTTGTCCATACTCACTGACAGGTCACCTTCAAACGCCACTGGCAGACTGTTCATCACCATGCAGACGAGCATGGTCTCATCGTAGCGGGTAAATATTAAAGGAAAAAGAATCCAATTGATTGTGGATGGGGCCGAGAGGCGTCGCCGCCATATATTTCACTCACAAGCTAATGCCGGACGCACCTGAGAGCCGCTCCCGCCCTTCGCCGGTTAGGATTACGATTCTAGCGCGGCGTGGCCGTGCTCAAGGTTACCATTTAAATTGTAAAAAGATAAAAGAGTTTCTTATTAGCTCCATTGCCGCAGCCTTGCTGTTGGTGCTCACATTTATCTTTATTTCCGTGACCTCGCACGCTCCTATTCTCTTCCGTCTTTCTTTTTTTTTTTACACACTCCATTCTCTTGGAGCAACGACCTCACGGTTTATGCATCCCGTATTGTTAAAATCGGCTTCGGATACACATCCTGTTTTCGTGTGCGGTGTCAAGTGTTACCAGTGAAATGTATTCACGAGTCGCAGTAAGTGAATCCAAAAGCTTCCATTTAGCAGCCAAAGCTTCAGGGAATACATTTGGTTTATAATTCGGAACGGGCTCGTGGATCTGCTCTATTATCATTCTCTTTAATACACTAAGTGCTTCTGTGTGATATCATGAAAATCCTTCTGCATTTTAGGGCTAATAATTAATTGGAATGGCACACAGCGAAAGGAGGGAAGAAAAAAACCCAAAGCTTTCACAGCAATTCAATTAGGCCTTGTTAAAAGGCTGATAGCTTTGGGAAATTGTGTTCACAGATTCACTTAGCCTTCAAGAGTGTTGAGTTTTTTTTCTCACTTTCAACACAACAATCTCAAATGTCAGGTGAGGAAAATAAGAAACAAGCCTAACCAAGCTTTGCAGCTAGCTCAGATTAGCCAAGACAGTGAAACCCTGAAAACTAGTTATACTGATAACAAAAGGTGACTACTTTTAAAATTGTGTATATTGTCAATGGGTGGAGGATTTTGAAGAAAATCAGACATAAATTTGAGGGCAAAAAAAAAAAAAAAATCCAAGTAAAATGCAGTTGAACCTGCATTAGTCTGTTGGCTGGAAAATTTAGCAATCTAGCTGCACATATAAATCCCATAAAAATATCCAATGAAAATCAATCTTAGCCCATTAATTGTGTACAGAAAAAATGCCAGCCCCAGCCTAAAAATATGCAGTAAAAGCTAGTTATCAATGTCAGGCCCCTAAGTTACCGTGTCTGCTACAAGTGCCGTTCATTATTTAATATGTTTTGAAAAAAATAACACTAATCATAAAAATGTTTGAAAACTACATTTTTTTTTCTTATTAGCCACCTAGTGAGCTACAAATCCCAGACTACAAAAAAAGGGGAGTTGGAATTGCCATTCTTGTGTACCCCAAAACTATGACAGAAAAACTTTTAGTTGTAAGGATCAAAACTCAATCTGGTCCACTTTATCGGTTGTTTATTTGCTGTCCAGCTTGCGAGCTAGGTAGCTAGCTAAATTCATTATTAAATAACTACAACTAGAACATCTTTCGATGTGTTAATGATATACTGATGAGTCAATCGTTTTTGTTTTTGTTTTTTTTCCCCTGAGAATTACTGCGTTGACGACAGTACAGTACATGCGCCCTCACCGACGCTGGAGCTGAGGTCTCCGTTCTCACCGTCGGCCCCGTGGTGGTGGTTGGCGTTGGCGTGGAAGCCGCCCATGGCCTCCAACTTGATCTTCTTGACTTTCATGGCCTCTGCGATGGCTGCGTTGGCTGCCGCAGCCGCTGCCGCCGTGAGACCTTGAGGGAGGAGGTAGAAAGAGAAAGCATATAGACTGCTTAGCTACAGTGTGCCACAAGTTCGCCAGGGGACGCAAAAAACCTGCTTGAGTCAATGAATGGAAAGAAAAGGGGACTTTTCAAAGAGTAGAACAATGAATAATGTCATACCCCATAGGGAATAGGCATGTACATGTTTTTTCATGTGGCGACAGGGGATATCTTCACAGCAGGCTGTCATGATGATGATATCATACGATCGTGATGAAGGCTACACCCACCCCATGGTGCCTCACCCTCTACATTGAAATATTCGTGCCTTCAAGGGGAAGAGATGCCGTTATAATAACTACATGTGCATCACGATGCAAGCATTCGTTTGTTTGGTTTATTTATCGTTTCAGTGTATGAGTTACGCTTTGATATTATACTCTCAAATGTCCTATGGCCAGCGGTGTACTGGTCGGCCAGCATCTGCCCGGTGGGCTGGCAATCCTTTGGGCCCAACTGCATGCATTTATTTATTTATTTACTTATTTATACAACCTAATTAATTACCCTTGCTCATCACATTGTAATACTGCACACTTGCCAAAATCTGGCACCTTATTCTGAGAAAATAGCAAATGGTCATTGTTGATAAGTATTGGATGAGCAGCATGTATTCACTTTCTACCACATAGTAATTTAGGTATTTATTTTTGAAAGGTATTTTGAGAAACAGTTGATGCTGCAATTTGTAAGATATCATCATGGTTGCTTTGCATGAGTTTGCATGAGAACATTTAAACAATCAGGTCCATTGTCCAAGTTGATTAGTCTGAATTGCAAAAAATAATTCTTTGAAATATAAAAAATATATATAAGTGGGACAACATTTCCAAGTTCCAAGATTATTTTGTGTGCCTTAAATATGGATTTTCCTCAATAACTCTTTTTCCAATTTTCAAACATAAAGAATGAGCATGACCAGACCCTCAGATAAAATGGACTGGATATGATCTAGTATGTGCGGAATAATAGACACACATATGGCGAGTGCACTGCAGAGATCATAAAGCATCGGGTTTGTCATTGCGGCACTTTCGGGGCTTCTGGCTGTATCAAACGTGACTTGAAATCTTTATTCATGAGGCTTCTGTCTCCAGCAGTGGCGACAAATAGTGCTAAAGCTCTTCCGGGCCGGCGTGCATGGTACGTGCGGTCCCGGGAGATTCCCCCGAATTCTCCTCGCCAACAACATAAAAGATGCGCAATTGGGAAAAGATGAAAAAAAAAACGAATACAATAGGAAAGTGCCTATTCGTGGAATCAGTCAGCTCCGCCATAGAGTATATCACCTGCCCTTTCACTGCTTATACTTGATATGCAGCTTTGTCTTTGTATTTCATCGCCGCTGCGCTGTCACACTCAGAAGGGGCTTTTAGCACACGTGTGAAGGGGCGGGAATCGAACGTGTGAGCCCGGCAGAAGATGCTCTTTTTTTCCCCAGCTGATAGGCAGATGGCGAGAGTCATTCTGCGCATATAATTTCGAAGCTTGTTTGCATCTTAAAATACATCAGGACCATATTGACGCACTGTATACATCATGTCAGCGATGGCCTCCTCGTTTGTGAGCGACTGTTCCATATGCAAAAGGCGTCAGACAGAATAAAAAGTCAGGGGCCCATAAGAAGGTGATACTTGTGCACATAATGAATTTAGCCCCTGCCTGGCCTGAAGGTCAGCCTTCATTTGTGTATAATGGCCAAGAGTCAACTGTTTCCCAAATGAGACGTATGCAGAACAGACTGCAGAGTAAATATTGAAATCACCTCCGGGGCTGTTTGTGTGATAAATTCACCGCACAAATCAGGTGCAGGGAACACCTCGCCGTGCCCCCACCCGCAGCTTTAAATGTGCTTTATTGTACTGCAGCCTGTGAATCCTTAACACTTGTGAGTACCGCCTAGGATCTTTTAATTGCTGTTTGTTTTGCCGTTGTTTCGTTTGTTAAGACAACCAGCGACAACAAACATTTCCTCATCCGCCCCAATCAAAGCTGGGTGGAATAAGTGAAGGTTAAGACATGCCGGGAAATATATCAGCCGTTCAGGAAAATTAACATATTTTCCCGAAATTCCCGATCGCCACCCCACCCCTAGCAATCTTACAAATTGTCAATGAGAAGATATTTTAATACGAAAAAGCTTCAAATGGTACCTTGTATGTAAAGATGTAACTACTTTGCAAGACATCAGAGCATTTGGAGAGGAGTTTTGATGAAAATGTCTGTTCCTAAGCTGTCTCGTGCCTGAAACTGCACTTTGAGGCCGACACGCTAACCAGTCAACCACTGGACCGCCCACCTCTGGAACATTGTTCACAAATGTCTTGTACTTGACTTTTGGGAGCTAACATTGCAAGATCAGAAAATGTCCTTTTTCAATTGCATATCAATCAATGCATTCATCTAAAAAAAAACAAAACTGGAAATGCAAAGAAACGCAGAAGAAGCTGTGGATCAGATGTTTATGATATTGCCAAGCAGAGCTATCAAACGAGGCTCACTTTGTCTTTGGCTAAACGACTCCCTTAAAAAAATCTACTTTGTAAAATCTTTCTCCTGCTAATTGTTTCATTCCAACAGATCAATTGTCATATCTTCAGAACCCGCGGCTTGACGCAGCAGGCGTAATGAGGAGGACAGGGAAGTCTATTAAGCCGCAGGAAGTCTAAAACGTCAACATTCCACTCGGTTGCTAATCTGCATTCATTACCATGCAAACAAAACAATCCCGCCTTGTATAGTCTCCCAAAGTCACCTTAAGATTCAGACGCTGGTATGGACACAGGTACGAATCATTGTGAGCGCAAAAGCAAACCCAAAGAAAAAAAAAAATGCAGAACCCGTCAAAGAATTAATGGAGACTAGCGTGGCGGTGTCACACGGGGAGCACCAAACAGCAAATAACAGAGACAAGGTCTGACGGTAGCCCTTGGAGCAGCTGTCATATTAAATAATAATGAAGGATCTATTAATATGCAAAGGAAGCAGCAGCCGACTGGCTTAACGCTGTCATGCCTCCGCATATTGTCAGGATCTTCATCATTAATTAACATGCTAGCTGCCCCATACCTGCGCCAATGTCAGAACATTCTTACGACAAACACTCCGGTGCCTGTGCCCTCCGCAACTAACTCGCATAATTGAATTAAAATCAGATTACCTTCACACCACTGCCCAAAAACTGGATTCATATTTCTCACAAAATGAAAGTTTTTGGCTTTGTTAAAGAGCGCACCACGGGCACACATTAAAACACTTAAACATCAGCTTACGTGTACATGTGGCAGCAAATTAGCGACACGAGCAGGGCTATGCTCTTAGGTGAACTGCGCCTACTCGAACTGTGCTACATTGCATCACGAAAACTTTAGGATCAGTTACATTGCTTGCTACCCTTATGACAGGCTGCCAACTGAGAGGAGGAGCGACCAGCAGCACAAAGAAGCAACACAAATTGGAGGTGGATCTATTTTAAAAGCATCTTGAAATGGCGGATTAGGGCAAGCTGCTCTCGTCGCCACCGACATCCTAATTGTACGTCAAAAAGGCATACATATTTTGACAATGGTAAAACAGCACGGGCGGCTGTGCCACATGTGATTATGAAATAAATACATACATACGATCAAAAACACAATTTACAGGCTTCTGACTTTAAACAGCAGTCATGTGTAACGACAGAACAATGAACCCCACTATTTGCAGAGGATACGGATCAAACTCATACAATTCTTGAAAATCCGCAATTAACTGATACCCCACTAAAAGGTTTTCAGTATAATTGCCTATAGAGGGCAGCAAAAAAAATGTTTTGTCTAAATGAAACTCCTCAACGCACTCATGCTGCAAAATAGTGGCAACGTTTTTTTTTCAAATGAAACTACGCAGTTCAACTCAACATAGCTATTTGACACAAAGACACAACAAAGTGGCAGCAAAGTGATACTTTTATATTGCATTATGTGCCGTCAACAGCTTTATAAGACATGGACTGCGTGATTATGAAGTCATGTCAAAGTGATTTTGTGTTTTGTGCGAATGCATGTCACTGAACGTCCTGTTGGTTGTTTGTCTTTATATCTGCCCGGTGATTGACTGGAGACCCATTCGGGGTGTAGTCTGCCTTCCGCCCGGAGTCAGCTGGGATAAACTCCAGCGACCCTGTTCAGGATAAACTGAGTTGAAAATGGATGGATTCAACTTTTTAAGGCAACTTCCATCAAATTTAAGACCTCTCCTTCACTAACTTTGACCATAATGACTGAGTGATATGAACTTCGTACTATATCACAGAAGCGAATGTCTAGTCACGACATATTTGTAAAGATATTTTGTTCAGATATACAAAGGGCAGTCTAGTTTATGTCTGCAGTCATTTTAAGACTTTTGAATGCTGGCATATCATTTTTGGGGGTTTTGAATTTGGACCAAATGTTAGAATCGCTGGTCATCTTTATTTCGACAAAACTGAAGTGTGTAAGGGACAACTGCAGCGCAATAGTATGAAATACTTTTTTTCCTTTTACTTTTAAAAGTGATTAACATATTTGTACACTTGTAAAAGAGTTACCGGTAACAACTTCATTAAATATGAAACTCCTATTACCTTAGACGTGTACGTAGTTGCCACGGCACCAATGATTTTAACTTCCAGTGGGGCAAACAATGTTTTCAGGGTTTCACTGTCTTGTTATTTTATCAGTGAAGTAGTGGATATTTGCAGGTAGGATGTATACTGCTGGTGGCATTCATTTCTCTAATGGTAAACTCGGTTCCTCTGGCACATAAATGAATTACACTGAAGCGTGTTCTGCTCAAGTCGTGGCCCAGAGTGTGAGTGGAGGTCCTCTCTCCACTTTAAAGGAGATGTCATTTTCATGTGGTGTCAGTCCATGGCAAATAATCCCATTTGGAAGGTTGGGAACGTCGGGTTGGGAGTGGGGGGGCAATCTGCCTGTAATGCATCAGCC